GAAGCTGTGGATGACTGGAGAATTGCAGCGCCTGGTCAGGGAGAGGGACATTGCCTTCAGGACTGGTGAGAGGGAGCTGTACAGCACTGCCAGAGCCGACCTGAAGCGGGGGATCAAGCGGGCCAAGATGGACTACAAGGGGAAGATTGAGGACTGCTTCCGGGGCAACGACTCCAGGCGGGTGTGGCAGGGGGTCCAGCAAATGACCAACTACAAACCCAGCCACCCCTCGGCCGATGGGGGTGACCCTCAGCTGGCGGAGGAGCTGAACTCCTTCTACGCCCGCTACGAGACAGGGCTATCGGAAGCAGCCACACCATTACATCCACCTGCCCTCCGCAGCCTCACCCTCACGGAGCACGAGGTGAGACGCACACTGAAGGCAGTGAACCCGAGGAAAGCAGCGGGGCCGGACGGAGTCTTGGGACGGGTGCTGAGAGACTGCGCTGACCAGCTGGCGGGATCTTCACCAAGATCTTCAACCAGTCCCTGTCCCAGGCCATCGTCCCATCCTGCCTGAAAACATCCACAATCATCCCAGTGCCGAAAAAGAACAACATCGGCTGCCTAAATGACTACCGTCCAGTGGCACTCACCTCCACCCCCGCTAAAGTTTTTGAGAAGGTGGTCCGTCCCCACATCGTCTCATCCCTCCTTCCCGGTCTGGACCCCCACCAGTTCGCCTACAGGGCCAACAGGTCCACGGAGGACGCCATCGCCACAGCTCTCCACCCTGTCTCACCTGGAGAGTAGGGGGAGCTACGCACGGATGCTCTTTGTGGACTTCAGCTCTGCATTTAACACCATCCTCCCTGACAGACTGGTGACCAAGCTATCAGTCCCGGGAGTATCCCATTCCTTGTGTCTATGGATTAAGGACTTCCTGTCTGATCGCCCCCAGAGAGTGAGGATTGGCACCCACACCTCCACGTCCCTCAGTCTCAGCACCGGATCACCACAGGGCTGCGTGCTGAGCCCCCTACTATACGCCCTCTACACCTATGATCTCGTCCCCGCCCACACCAGCAACTCCATCATAAAGTTCGCTGATGATACCACCGTGGTGGGCTGCATCTCAGGGGGTGACGAGACCGCGTACATGGAAGAGGTGGAGCAACTGCTAGCGTTGTGCAAAAAAAAAAACCTGCAGCTGAACAAGCTGAAAACCCAGGAAATGATCATTGACTTTAGGAGGAAGAAGACCGTCATGCAGCCCCTGTACATTGATGGAGGCTGTGTGGAGAGAGTCTCAGTGATCAAATTCTTGGGCGTTCACCTGGCGGAGGACCTGTCCTGGAGGACCAACACCACGGCAACCGTCAAGCGGGCGCAGCAGAGACTCTACTTCCTGAGAATACTCAGGAATTACCACCTCAGACAGGATCTGCTTGTGTCCTTCTACCGCTGCGCCGTGGAAAGCATCCTCACCTACTGCATCTGCGTGTGGTTCCTCAGCTGCACAGCCGCAGAGAGGGGTGTGCTCCAAAGGGTCATCAACTCGGCCCAGAAGATCATCGGTTGCCCCCTCCCCTCCCTGGAGGTACTGTATAGCTCTCGTTGCCTTAAGAAGGCAGTCAAAATCCTTAAGGACCCACACCACCCGGGTAATGAGCACTTCGTACGGCTGCGCTCAGGCAGGCGCTTCCGTACCATGTCTTCCCGGACAAACAGACTCAAGCTCAGTTTTTTTCCCAGGGCCATATGTGCACTAAACGCTGCTAATACTTAAATGATATAAGCCTTCCGTGCAATACGAGGGGAATCGTGCAATTTAATTTATTTATTATTTATGTACGTACATATTCCCTATCATGTCTTTTTAAGTCCCATTTATTGTTTTTATTGTTTTTATAGTGTCTTGTTGTTTTTATATTGTCTTGTTGTTGCGTGAGTCTATTGTAATTTCGTTGTACCTGTACAATGACAAATAAAGATCTATCTATCTATGTTTGGCTTTTGTACATATTCTTAAGAGGATATCAACAATTATTTTGAGGTTTCAATGTTTAAGTAGATTGCTATTCATTGATGTTTGATGTATGGTTAGCACATATTTTGTAGTGTGTATTACACAGCACTTTTGCATGTAAACATTGTATATGCATATTTTGTGATGTTTGTGACATAATTAACCGTTGTATATATATATATTTCTGCATCACAGCTAAGTGTCTAATTTCAATGTATATTGTGTTTCTTTCAGTTTTACTCTGTTGAATTGTGGATGTAAACATCTTATTAAAGAAGATAAACGCTTGCCACTTGTCGAGGAGTTATCTGTCTGCATATCTGTACTCATAACGACAGTGAGGGCAGAACAGTATTGTTATCTCTGATTTTAGGACAGAAGTAGGTAGGGTGATTGTAGTATTTATTTGTTAACAGGCTTTCAAATTATTGTTGCAGCTTTGATGACAGATGCGTTTAGCTAGGTTGAATATAGTTTTCTGTTCAGTGGCAAACACGTCATTCTACAAATGTTGTGCACCAGTGGCACACCTGTGAACAGTGTTTCTGCCAGACCAGGGCTGAGAGGGCGTCCACCCCGAGAGCGGGGGTGGGGGGGCGTTTTGAATTTTGACTTGAGCCGTCCCTTATAGATACTGTCTTTTTACGCTAGTGAGCCGGATCATTTGGCTCGGCTCGGCTCTCTTAAAGCGCCGGCTGTTTCGGCTCCCAAACGGCTCTTCATTCACAGTTTACCACGGAGCGGGGGGATATTTTTTTTTTTTATCCAGTGGAGCAGAGAGAGGAGCTGTGGATTATTGTTATTGATTTGTGCATCAGTGTTTCTTAGGGTCAAAAACACTAAACTCACAACTTAAAATGAAAGCGTTTAGTTTATTTAATAAAAGAGCACATGTTCAATGTGAAAAGTGACAGTAGATATAGATTAGTTGCAATTTGGTGCTATATATATATATATATATATAAAAATATATTATAATAATTCTTTTTTTTTTCTAAACACCTTGAATTTCAGGGGAGGCGCGGGGCTCCGTTGGCAGTGCGCAGCACCCCTCCAAGACAATGGTAGGGGAAACACTAAAGACAATGTAAGGGATTAGCATACATCAGGTTAAACAGAGTTGCCAACTCTCACGCATCTGGCGTGTGACACACCTTTCACTCTCAATCTCACGCTGCCCAAACTATCCTCATGCCAAAAACAAGATGAACCGGCGATCGTTTTTGGTTGGTTATTTACAATGTTGAGTTGACAGCTGCTCAAGCTGTCTATCTGCTCCCTCCCCGCCCCCACCACTCTTAACAACGTTAACAGACAGCAGAGCAGTGGGAGCCGGTTGGTCAATCCCCGACCCGAACTGAGCAGATCTAAGATCCAGTAGAAATTATAAAAAGTAAAAGTCTGCTGCTTATTATTCTACTAGGCCAAAATAGAGTGAAATAGTATATGAGAGTGAGAGTGAGTTAATTAATATATTTGGCAGTTTGGAGTAAGTCTGTAGATTTGTTTGTGTTTGTGTGTTTCATGTATAGGCCTCTCATGATAATTAATTTAGTCGGATACATTTTCCAGGAAATTATTGCGATAAACGATAATATTGTCGGCACCGTTGTATGACCATTTTAGACCACTGACATAATAATAATATATAATAATAATTCAAGTACATCCTTTCAAACTGCTAGTCACATCCTCATGTAAATGGCAATTTATCGAGGTCAGAAAAGTTATGGAGTTCATTTTTATTTATCGTACGATAAGTCAATTAATTGCTTATCGGGTCATTCTACAGAAAAGGTGGAAGTACTGTCACTTACTTTTGCAGACACCAAAATACATGACGTTGACCTAATACTCACATTCATTATATATGTTGAATAAATAGAGATTGTCTTTGCAATGGTACTAAATAAAAAATAAATAATGGATTTATACATAAATTGCAATTTATTTAAAATGCCAAGTTCAAGGAACTGCCTCGTCACTTTGATCATACATGGAAGTGGAGCCTATAATTTTTTCATTTTTCAATAAATAAATCTAATTTATATTTACATAACATTACATACATTAAATATAACACTGACATGGTAAAAAAAACGCTAATTATTACTAATAATATCAAATAAATTACGTCATTGGTGTTACTGCTACACAAAACGCTTTTATTTTTGAAATAATGTACTGTCTCTGAAGTGCTTCCTGTAACAAGAGATTATTTGAGGCAGTGCAGTGGACAAAGACATAAGGAAAGTCACTTCTTATCTTTGTTTGTTAAAGGTGTCATTTTATCTTCAAATTGTACGTGTGTCTTTCAAGTCTGTCATTAGTGTTACTCATTGCATAGCCCTAGGGGTGAACATTTGAATGGGAAAATGTATTGTATTGAAGAGTTAAACGATTTTGATATTGACTGAAGCCATATTTGGTCTGACACATTGGAGCCATTTTGTTCAAATTGTCACTGGTGTTACCGTCACTGGTGTTACTCTTCTTCCTGTTAACACGTAACACCAGTGACGTCCCTATATAAATAAGCGTTGTATAATGTATAAAAATAATAAAAATACTTTAAGCTCTACTTGTTGTGGATTCATCAAGTTAAGAGTTAGTTATTGCTATTTAACAGGTTTAGAAGGAATATATTTCCGCAGATTTGTATCACTCAGATTCCACCTTTAAAACAGTGGAAACAAACATGTGTTTGACTTTCATTAATGAATGAAACTTTGTGCCCTTTATAGTCTGTGTCCAATATTGTGTAGCCTATTTGTATACCATGATATCAAAATATCACTCCAACCAGGTACCCAAAGTTGGCAACCCTGGGTTAAAGGTTAAGTTGTATGGGAAATTGAGTTTCAATAGTGACAGACACTCTATGAATCATGGAAATACTTTTTTATAATAGCTGACACAGGTATAGACGCCAGGAAAACGTCTCCCGAATGCATCACGACGAAGGAGGTGTCAAGCTGTTTTAGAGCAACGGTGTAGTTAACGTGAGATGCTGCTGGGGTGTGAGCGTTACCTGTCCGGTGATGCCGGTGACAACGGCCACTTTCCTCTCCTTCTTCAGCTCTCCTTTCACCTCGGAGCTAACGCTAGCAGGCTCGGAGCACAGGGCCATCTCTTCTCGTCAAAAAGGTTTACTGTCTGCTGCAACAACGTCCTGAAAAACCTGTCAGTGCAGAGTGTTCACAGTTTACCAACGACCCTCCTCAACTTCCGTAACCAAACTACACGCCGCTGTCACAAATCAAAGTACGTAGCAGGAAGCGACCGTGAAATGAGCCAATAGGAAGAGAGCAGGTGGAACAGAGGAGAGCGCTTTGTTAAAGAAGGCAGAGTGAGTGAGATGGCTGAATATCCGTAGACACAGCGCCCCACGAAGGATGAGTGGCTATTTACAGAGGGGCAACAAGACCCTTTACTTGAGAAAAAGTAAAAAATACTATGGTCTTGAAATACTCCATTACAAGTAAAGGTCCTGAATAGGGAATTGTACTTAAAAGTACAGAAGTATTAGTAGCTAAATGTACTTCAATTATTAAAACTAAAGGTAATCTGTGAAGAATGGATCTTTCACAGTTTTATATTATTATAGAATATTGTGTTAATATGTTTTTGATCACTACCAAATACGTATTTATGTTGTAGATTGTAAACGTTGAGCCTATTTTTAGTAACCAGTATCTATTAGTATTATGGATTGGAGTAAGAAGTACAATATTTGCTTATAAAATGTATTGGAGTAGAAGTAGGCCTATAAAGTAGCGTAAAATGTAAATATTCAAGTAAATTACAAGTATGTCAAAATAATAGTAAGTAGAATACTTTAGTAAATGTACTTAGTTATCTGTTTGTTGCTCTGGTCTGAATGATCTCATCCTTTTTCATCCATGCATACACAGTGTTTCCTATACTAATCTTTAATCACAGTAACATTTATATACCTTTACAGAGTCTTTACATTCTATAGACATATATAAAAAACTAATTACAAAAATATCCCCCTGAAACAGTCTCTGTCCGAAGAGTTTCTGCAGTATGTTGGGAACTGTCAATTAACTCACTCACAGTATTCAGGTGCAATTTGACCTTAAAGGTGGGGTAGGTCATTCACTTCAGAAACACGTTTTGTTATATTCCATGGAATGCTCTTAACATCCCGATAGCAATGAATTCATTAAATGCTTTGACAATAATTACATTAAAAAAGTTCATCTGTGGAAGCCATCTCGTGCACAAACTTATCTCGTTCCCTCATTGGTCATGTGCGCCTTCGTGTGTGTTAGAGGAGGGGCTCTGTAAAGAAGTCTGAAGGAAGTAAAGGGGCAGATTTTTTTCGGCTGCGTAGTTTCAAATTATAGCGCACTCAAGCTGGTTTCTCCATTCTTACCTACCTTTAATACCAACGCTTTATAAAGTCATCTTTGATTAGTTTTTAGTCTTTTAAACAAAATGTATTATAATGAACAGAAAATATGTTTTGTTGGGTATCACACTGTCCTGCCTGCACTGGCATGAAGGTCTCAGTCAGTTGGCAGTAGTTCAGCCTTGTTGACTCTTTATTAGCATAGTCAAACATTTGCATAGGAATGTTGGTTTGTAGTTCTCAGGGAAATTTGCCTGAGCTTTCAATTTGCATGAAAAGTCAGCACTTAATGAGGATTTTTGTCATTTTGTTTTAGCAGCAACACTAAAAATGTATGAATCAACAGAGTGAAGAGGAGTAACAGAAATCCCAAATGTTATTGTTTTGCGAGGCTTCTTTAAGGAAATGTAAACCTTTTTGTTACCACAAAGACAATCATCCAGTAAAAAATAAATCCCCAGAAGCAATAATGCTAATGTGTGAAGAGAGGACATGTCTCTGTCAGTCGCACATAATTTCCCTGCCAACGTTTTATGTAAATATCAGTTAACACCCTGGTCAAACAATAACGAGGATGTCAGTGACACATCTGTTGTTAAAGGAACAAAATTGTATCTTGAAACGAGGGGTTACGTATTGTAACCAAGCGGCAAACTGTGGGGTAGAGCCGGGAAGCCAATACGGAAGTGCCACACACTGCAGTTCATATATTGGCCGATAGGCGATGGCTGCAGAAAGGAGCAATTTCCATAGACCCCCATGTTAAAATGCCCAACTTTACAGCAGAAAAAAACATGTTTCTACCCCTGGCTCCATACATTTTTATTATCGATATAGTTAGATTCCACCTTCATGATTATGGATCTGCGAGTGAATTGTTTTCTAACGCGACCCTTTTATTTATATTAGGTCTTAAAGTTTGTGCATAAATTAGGGCGTGGTCACATTGAGTGACGGCTCTGTCAAGTGCCTGCCGCTGTTAGCTTCTTGTCTCTCTGCTACCTGCTCCGTGAAGCAGTGTTGCCAACTTGGCGATTTTCTCGTTAAATTTGGCGGCTTTCCAAACCCTCCGGCTACTTATTTGTGTCAAAAACGACTAACGACTAATCTAACGATTTATAATGGTGTTATTAGGGACTTTTCTGGTGTTTGGAGACTCACATATTGTTCTGCAGTTAACGAGCCGCGGGTGCTGCCGTGAGCCCCGCCTCCCTCCCATAGTACAGTTGCCTGGCCGCAGCAGAGCTGCTGCTGCAGTCAGAGCAGAGAGGAGACAACCACACTCCCCCGCGTCGAGACTGCAAATGAATTGCGCATGCGCCAACTGCCAAGCCGTCCTGGTTTTGAGCGGGATTTAAATGTAAATGTTTCTTCACTCACTTTCACACTATAATAAATAACTGCCTTTGCTTTGCTTTGCCTCACACAGCCTCAGTTTACATCCTTGTAACTTAGAGATATGTTATTATGTAGGTAGGAACTGTATGCATCTAAGGTTAATTTAAATTGGCTCTGCTCAAGTATGTAGACAAGCTAATGTCGAAGTAGTGTATGTGAAATCAACCTCACAATAAGATGTGTGTATATTACAATTATTAATGTCATATTTCAAGATGATTACTTAGATATTACAATATGGTTGGTTGAGCTGGAGTTCATTATTGAGCTTACACTTTAACGTCACAGTCATCTGAAGAACGAACCCAAACCTTGTTGTTTTTATTAATTGCATTACCAAATGGGTATCAAATAAACAGTAAGCATTGGTAACACAACTTCCAAAGTTACAGTAAAATAAAAAGGACCCTGACTCGGACAATACACAATCCAACATGTTCAACAGAAGAGAATCAGTTATATTGTTTGTACACATGGTTCTTTACATATATATATATATATATCTGTTTGTTAAACTTTAAGGTGTCCAGGTGGACTCCTCACAGCAGTGAACTTCAGCACAGGTACAAAGACTCTTTTTTTCATACTGTAAAGAATCAAGAAATATATTGGTTTAAATAAATGAAGTATTGACTTTAATACACTGATATACATTCCATTAAACAATACTAAATACTAGATCACTTACACATCAGTTAAGTTGAGGGGTTTTTCCATGCAAAAAGTCACATTTAGATATTTAGCAATATGACTTTGTCAGCTTTCTAATTTAATGTATTGAAGGCAAATATATTTAACACATAGTGAGAACTGCTACTAGTATTTATCTCTCAATATTGTCTGTAAAAAAACGTGGTAAAAGTTATTCTTTCAGTGAGACAACAGAGCAAGCTTCTACAGTTGCACTACGTTTTGATAACAGTTAAATATTATTTTGATAATAACATATATTTCAATGTTGATGAAATTCATACTGTTCATTCATAATCTGATTGTCTTTGTAGCTCACTGTTGAAATTTAAAAAAACATTACAATTACAAAATAATTATATCTACAGCCCCTAAACACACAAACACACTTGTTCTGCAATAATATGTTTTATGTTTCCTGTCATTTTTGTTAGGAAAGGACATGCCTGAAAGACACGACATTTTCTCCTTCTCTGAGGGTCAAGAAGAACATCCAAGAGGAACATTAAAAGCTGATGTTATGAGATTTTAAGACCAGTACAGGACATTCACTAAGAAACTACTTTTATTGTAAAAACAGTCAGCTGATCAAATGCACCTATTTCCACATCTACACTCCATCCGCTGATTATTTCTATTTGCCTCGCTTTATGAGCTTCACATCACATGTGCCTTGTACCGCAGAGTTTGCAACGTCACAAATAAATGGGGCCAATCTTCAGTCAGATGTGAATGTGTAATCTAACATTTTCAGTAAGAATAATGGACGAAAGGAGTGCAAATACAATTTATTGAAATGTGAACCAAAAGTTAATCAAACATGTTTTAAATAAAAAGCACATATGGACAGAAGGTGTAAACCTATTAAAGGTATAAGTAAACACATTTAGTCAAATAAAGTGACAGACTAGGCCTGTGCAGGTGGTATCAGCTATGCCCAGCATGGGCTCCTCCATCAGGCCTGGTCCTCCTCGCAGAGGAAAGACCCTCAGTCCTCTCCAAACCAACAGACAGGACGTCCATCACACGGAGGTTTCTCCCTGAAGTCTCTGCAGCTCTCTGGACGCCAGGCTGTCTCAATCCGTCCACACTGAATATGAGATTGGGAAAATGAAAATAATAAATGCTTTAGACAATAAGAAACATAAAGTTGACTGTTGAGTTGCTCAGTTTTTTTAGATTGTCAATACTATTACTGTATAACTAATATCTCAGGTTAAGAGGCACATTCAAAATAAGATTGGTCTTTAAATACATGTTGTCTTTTGAATTGTTTGTCTAAAGTCAAGGATCTATAACTGGTACTTAGTTTTAATGATACAGTCTGGTTATTATGCTGTTTGGAGGAGGCATCGCAGGTAAGAGCACTAACTAGCTAACATCACATGTACCTTAGCTTGACTTAAATGTATTAAACGTATAGTTAAGTGATATCAAAATACAAATAACTAATGTCATGCAAACATATTCATATTTGCTTGATTCCAGTGTTGAATTTAGCACAAAAACATTAAGGGGTTTTAAGATTCTGAAGTATTATGCTAAAAACTCAATAACTTAGATTATTATTTATAGTTTTGCTGAATAGTTTCATGTCCGCTTACCTTAGAAACGTAAAATGCGACGGCAGTGTGGAGATGGGGAGCATGTTAGCTTAGCTTGGTAGCTTCAGCAGTAGCGTGGCGTGGGGAAAAATGTAGGGGAAGCCCATTTTTTGGGTCGGGGGGTGGTCAATAACGTAACCAGATGAGTGATTACAGCGCCCGGTATCATTTTACACACATTTGTATCACACAGATGCAG